CATCAACTGAAACAATTGCTAATTTCTCCATTTCAACAAAATCGTCCATTAGGCTGATATCATGAGCTCCAATCATTTTGCACTCTGTTGCAGTTTGAGTTTCCCTATGTTTGACGTACCCCACTTCTGAATTTATAGCAGACTCATATTCTTTCTTCGCTAGAACATCTTTGAGAATGTTATTTTCTTTTTCCAAATCATGCAAACGCTCCTTTAAGTCATTTAGCTTTTTAATTAGGATGTTTGGACAATATTCGGCTCTGGGATCTTTCACGTCTAAACCTCCTCTAATCGAATTCAATTTTATCCTTTCGTTCTCCACCTGGTTTCTTCCCTTCATTTCAGTTTCACTCTTCATGTTTGCCAAGACAGTTGGATCTGGAAGCTTCCTGCGCGTTATGGTGCGTAATCTGTAGCACTCTGCTTCCAATTTCTTTATTTTCTTTATATTCTCCAAGTGTTGTTTATGTTCAACTTCTGCAGATTGATGACTATATTCCAGCTCTTCATTTCGGAGGTGAAATTCTTTCTCAAGCATCCTAAACTCGTACCTTAGAAAATCATTTTCCTTTTCTGCGGAGTCTAATCTTGTCATTAGTGCATTAAATTCTGCCTCTGTTTGAGATTTGCATTTATTTATCTCTTCAATCAAATTTTCTTTTACTAGTAGGGTCTTGCTCAGATACAAATGCTCAACAGTCAAATCAGCAAGCCTTTTACTTGTTTCTGTTACTTTTTCCTCTAAAATTTTATGTGCTTTTTCCAATTCTTCTGATGTTTTCCTGGCAGCATCGTGCACTCTTTGCTCCTGTTCCTCTCTCACTAGATTTAATTGCTCCATGCAGTCCCTCAAGGCAGAATTTAGGTGACCTAACCTTTCATTTGCAACCACACTCTGCTGCAAAGCTCCATCCAGTTCTTTTTTCAGGCTCCTTACTTCTTCCTCGGCTTCCTCCTTACCTGATGTAGTATTAAAGTATCAATTAGAAGAATCAAAAGCATACAACAATTGTAAAATTTTAAGAACATTCATGTCTAATATCACCTGCAATGGCTTCTTGTGCCATTTTGACATGATTTGCTACAAGTTCATCTTTAGCAGCACACGCATCAACGGCGGAAGCCAGCTTTTTGTTTAGAAGTTTTAGAGAATTCTCGAGAGCCACCTCTTTTTCACTGGCAAGCGACTGTGCCTGTATAAATTACGCAAGCAGAGCCCTAATCAATGATATGAGTATTGTAGCCAAAGAGACATTCATGCTGAGAGTATTCGATTCAGTTGGAAGCATTAAATTTCAGAATTTGAAAGGGTAACTTTAATTGAACCAAAGTCCAGAATATGCTTGATATTGATAGGTTGGATCAAGAGAAAGAAAGCGAACAACTTCAATTACCTTATCTCTGTCAGTTTTGTTTGCAATATCAGCTTTTCTGTGTACAAAAATTGTCTTCTCCGATGATCTTTTCCTCCAAAGCCACATCTTCCGGTCCATGGTTTACTATGTTTACCAAAGAGATGGAAAGCAGAGGCTATAAGTTATTTAAGAACCATTACATTGCCCATGAGTATTTACACACACCAAAAAAAAAAAAAAAATTTCCTTTTCCATATAAGGGAAAAATGGTTACGATGTTAGTTTGTGGAAAAGATAAAATTTCTCTCTGCATGACTACATCTAACCCTGAAAACATTTCAGAGCAATCACTTCAAGGAAATAGTATTTCCATCATAAGTACTTTCAATGCGATCATAACCCCTTTAGTAAAATGTAAATATTTGTTAAGACCACATATACATAAAAGGCTGCATTTTGGATGATTAGAGTCACAGAAAAGAAAATGCATTCGCTACATAAAAGATTTTCCATTCAATGCAAGGCATAAGTTCACCAAAGCCTGTGCCTGCTTTAAAACTCATAAAGTGAGAGAATATGCATGGCCCTAAACAATACCATTGCAGAAATTCTAACAGCAAACTGTACTTGTTATTCTGTGAATTTCTTGGAAGAAAAAACAAAAGAAGGTGATAAATGAGGAGGTTATGCTTCCAGTATTGATTGACTCAATCTGATTTATATATTAATAAATTCGGGGAAAAAAAAATTCTGATTAATCTGAAATCCATGCTGTAGAATGCAAAATGAAAATTGGCAAAAAGAAATAATCAGGAAACAGTAATACTAAGAAAAATGGGCTATTAGACACCAGTCAAGTCATGAATATGTTAATAAATAGCTATATATATATATATGATATCTATATATATATATATGATATCTATATAGTGAAGCTGTAGCAGTAGAACTCACTTGCATTAAGCTAAGTTCCTTGGTCAAATCACCAAAAAACAAAAGAAGGTGATAAATGAGGAGGTTATGCTTCCAGTATTGATTGACTCAATCTGATTTATATATTAATAAATTCGGGGAAAAAAATTCTGATTAATCTGAAATCCATGCTGTAGAATGCAAAATGAAAATTGGCAAAAAGAAATAATCAGGAAACAGTAATACTTAGAAAAATGGGCTATTAGACACCAGTCAAGTCATGAATATGTTAATAAATAGCTATATATATATATATATGATATCTATATAGTGAAGCTGTAGCAGTAGAACTCACTTGCATTAAGCTAAGTTCCTTGGTCAAATCACCAACCCATCACTTCCATTTTTCAAATTTAAAGGAAGAATCAAGCACCGCAGAACTCAATTGCGCAATATAAAGAAAAATGTGAATGAATTAAATAAAACACAAGCCCTGAAACTGAAAAATACCATGTGATTTTAAGCAATTCTCTTCAATTCTACCGACCAAAAAAATCCCTGGTATGAAAAAGCATTTACTGTGTGTCCATCGTAATGGCTGGTAAAATAGCTCATAAAAGTCGTCAAAGCGACAACCCACTGAATGCTTCTAAAATGATTGAAAAGTAAATCCTTTCCATTCTTTTGACTTGATAAACTTTTGAGCATCAGAGGAAAAATGATTGATTTGAGTTGGTGAAAGGCACAGCTCCATAGATGCCACGCGTGCACTGCATTGGGCCCATTCTTTAAATGTTGGGAAACTTTCAGTGAAGGTCCCTAACCTTTTAAAAAAGTTCAATTAGGGCCTAAACCTTTTATTTTTAGTAGTATATTTCTTAACGTTAAGTAATTATTATGCAGCAGAGTGACTTCTGAATGGAAATCATCCAAACATCCAGCTTCCTATTTACCCAGAGGTTAAAGATTGCACTGTCAAAAATGAAAGATTCAAGACCTAGTTTACTTTTAAAAAGTGTAGGGACCTTAATTGAAATTTTCTTAAATGTTTTGCGGTCCTCTTTCCACCATTCTTTTAGATTTTCTTAGGGAAAATTCCACCAATGGTCCCAATTCCCAAATTTATTGTTTCTATTACAAATTAGCTTCGACTTTTATAAAATTAAATTTCACCATTTCAACTTGAAATGGTAATTTGGATAGAGATATACTCACGAGGACTATATGAAAAGTTCACAAATATTTGGACCAATATGTAAGATTAATTGTACGCCGATAATAAAAGTTGCTACTGTGCGAAAACAGGTTGAAAAATCGACGTCCCAAATTTCCAATATTTTATGTGATGTTCACTATCCCATTACCACTTGCTAGTCGGACTATATTAAATAAAAATTAGTTCTCTAAAATAAAAATGTAAAAGAAATAAAAAGCCTATTGAAGATTTTTAAGAATTTCGTCACTTTAAAGATGGTAGATAGAAGGGTAGAAAGAATTGCAACAAACATAATGATTTTGTCAAGATTAATTTTTTCCCTGTCTAAAGCAACGTATTGATTCGTGTCCAAAGATTATAATAGGCCCCTTTCCTAGAAAGGAATAAAAAAGTAACAAGTTTACTAATGCTTTCACATTTTATATAAGTTTTGGACTAATTTGTATTCTAATAGTATAATTGGATATATGTTTTCATATTACCTTTGTCCATACATTTCAACTTTCTTGAATCCACAAATATTATTGGCTTCTTGACTACTCATTTATCCTCATTTATAAATAATTTTCAAGATACAATAATAATAACATAAATATATCGAGATGCAAATTAATTATTTTGTTGCATAAGGATCATTATTTTTAGTTATTTGATATTTGAACTCTTTAACGATTATATCAAATACATATCATCTTAATATATAAAAGAAAGGTAATTACTTTTATAAATAAAAATAATTTACTCTTGATTCTGATTTTCGGTATAAATACAAACTGTAAAAGCGTTATCGTGGTCAAATGATCCTTTAGACATTTAAAATTCAAAGTTAAATATATCACAAAAATTACCACAAGAATAACTGACTTATGACAACCACATTTATTTTATCCTTTTTTTTTTTTTTTTTTTTTTTTTTTTTTAATTTAGCAAATGAATTTTATAAAAAAATTTGGTTTAAATTGAGCAAATGAGTTTAGTAGAGAAATTTGGTCTTTTACAACGGTATGCAAAAAGCACTCCAGACATTGTTACAGTTTATAACTAAGCACGACTAACTTTTTATTTAAATAGCAAATAAAGTCGAAGTCGAAGTCGAAAAAGAAAACAAAAATACCTCTAAGCTTTTTATTTTTCTTTTTCTAAAGATAGATCATTTTCAACACCAGAACCTTCAACACACCGCAGGCTAGCAATATCGGGAAGAATAATACCATCCATAGCACTTTTATCATATTTTCGGACCTTATTATAGAACCAAGCCATGCCAGAAATCTGAACCAAATTTCACACGCACAAGAAAGAGAACATTATAGGAAAAATACAAATCAAGTACCTTGAAGTTATCAAGCTTAGAAACAGAACCATCATAAGAAATAGGAAAATCATTGCCACGAACAGAACCATCACTCTTAAATATTGTGAGAACAGATTTCAGCATGACCTATGAATATAGCATTAATCTTCTATTGCATGTTATGTACATGAAACCCATTCATTAGATAACTGCAGTCAAGGAATATTCAAGATGGCGCAAATACCAGATTTATTGATAATTGGGGAACCCATTAGACTTTCACTGTTTTAAGAACTAATGCTAGAGGCTATTGAAAATGAAGAGCAGAACAGTCCACAGAAAAGTAGTAGACCAAGAAAGCAGAACAGACAAGACCAGGGAAAAATGAGAAACAAACAACTAGCAGTCCATTAGCAACATAACATTCAGAAACCACCACGGAGGCGGAGGACAAGGTGAAGGGTGGACTCCTTCTGGATGTTGTAGTCAGCGAGTGTCCTTCCATCCTCCAACTGCTTCCCAGCAAAGATCAACCTCTGTTGGTCTGGGGGGATTCCCTCTTTGTCCTGGATCTTAGCCTTCACATTGTCAATGGTATCGGAGCTCTCCACCTCCAAAGTGATGGTCTTTCCAGTCAGGGTCTTAACAAATATCTGCATCCCTCCCCTCAACCTCAGTACCAAGTGCAGAGTCGACTCCTTCTGAATGTTGTAATCTGCCAAGGTACGACCATCCTCAAGCTGCTTACCAGCAAAGATCAGCCTCTGCTGATCCGGTGGGATGCCCTCCTTATCCTGAATTTTTGCCTTGACATTGTCAATGGTATCTGAGCTCTCAACTTCAAGGGTAATTGTCTTCCCTGTGAGAGTCTTGACAAAAATCTGCATGCCACCACGAAGTCTTAGCACTAAGTGAAGTGTTGCTTCCTTCTGAATATTGTAGTCTGCCAAAGTCCGGCCATCCTCAAGTTGTTTCCCAGCAAAAATTAGCCTCTGTTGGTCTGGAGGAATACCTTCCTTGTCTTGGATCTTGGACTTGACATTGTCAATGGTGTCAGAGCTTTCCACCTCAAGGGTAATAGTCTTTCCAGTGAGGGTCTTAACAAAAATCTGCATTCCTCCTCTCAGCCTGAGCACTAAGTGAAGAGTGCTCTCTTTTTGAATGTTGTAATCAGCAAGGGTGCGGCCATCCTCGAGCTGCTTGCCAGCAAAAATCAACCTCTGCTGGTCCGGGGGAATACCCTCCTTGTCCTGGATCTTGGTCTTGACATTATCAATAGTGTCAGAGCTCTCGACCTCAAGGGTGATGGTCTTGCCAGTTAGAGTTTTCACGAAGATTTGCATCTGCGCCATTAGACAGAAAGATCATTTAAGACGACAGATAAATCAATTTCCAAAAGAGACCGCTCAAACATTCTGAAAAACCATATAAAACAGTTACTAATCTAATTCATGACAGTCAAAACATGTTTGTCCAGAAAAATGGAAAAGGGAGCTAGTATCAAACTTCCAAAAAAGATGATCATGGCATAAAAAAAAAAAAACCAAAATTTGGAATCTATGAAGACCCTTTCCATACCCAGGAAATTTTCAATAAAAAACCTGGATGTTTTTATTTATTATCTAATGGATTAAACAAGTAAATCATCTAGACAGTTTGGAAAGAAATTTATCAAAAAAAGGAGAACAATCAATTGACCAAGGAAAACTATAACCCCCGAAAATCTAGAACTCCAGATGAAGAACTGTAACTAGAAAACTGTTCGTTCGCGCAAAATTGCAATTTCGATCAAGATCATTTAAGATCTCCACGTAATTGAAGCCTAAATTTGTGGTATGTAAACAAACCTCTCATATATGAGATTTATTTCAAAGAAAATCAATTTATTCATCGTGAATTTTCAAGAAAATGTATATTAGAAGATTTTAAGCACCGAATGAAAAAATAAAGATCCATAAAGACGGCAAAAAATGATTGATTTCTCCTGAAACTTTCCAATTGAAATGAATCGGCAAAGAATTAAGAATCGTCGTGCTAATTATCATATATCTGGCAAACAAGACTACTTAATCACGAAACTAATGAAACGAAATTTACTTCAGGAGTCGAAAAACTAAAAGAAAATCGAAATTATAGGAGATGATCAAGAGAACTATCGTACCTTGAAAGAAATTCAGAACTTTTGGAGGAAAAGAGAAGAACGGAGAAAGATGATTTTTCGTCGAATGGAATTGGATTAGGATTCGTTGACACATAAAAATTCAGTCCAAATCGAACAGCCCAAGGAGTAAAGTCCAATTGAAGGATCCCCAAATTGGATAGCCCAAAGAACGAAGTCCAATCGAACGAATCAAGGTGAAGGCCCAAATAAGAGGTCCAAGAATGCGGTAACGCCATCGCCCAAGTTTGCAAGTCGCCCACAATCTGAACGAATGGAGTGTCATACGATCGTCCAGAGCTGTTATTCTACTCTCGTCCAAACCTTCAAGTCGCCCAAGGTATCAACAAATATAACGCATCGTGGTTATCAAGGAATGCAGTTATCAAGGCAGTTGTTAAAGTAACCTTATCACGTTTCACGACTCAAGGAATTCAATCGAAAGCAGTTGAACGATGAAAGATAATAGCAGCAGTTAAAAGGCAGTTTCATGACAAAATGACCACTACAAAGAAAGTGGGTAATTATAGGACGATCAAGCAGTTTTTATGGTAGTTAATCACAAAGAGATCATCTATGAGGTATAAAAGGGAGAAAGGACGCAGAAGAAAATGACCGAATCCAAAACTCTCGAACAGAGAATATGTAATTTTCATTTCCTTAACTTTTAGACTTAAACATCTTTCTTTCTGTAACTCGTGTGCTTGCGCCCCTTGGAGGCACGTTGTTTTTCATTCCCAATTGTAAAGTTCATCGTCAATAAAATAACACCCATTTTTGGGACTTTGTCTCAAGAGGTTTCGTCCCTTACACAATCGTCTGATCCCTTTTAATTGTTAGCGACTTAACCCGCGCGAAACAATTTGGCACGCCCAGTGGGACAATGGTGTTAGGTGTTGAAAATACAAAAGGTGAAACAATATGCCTCAGAGATCCGACAAGGAAGGAGCAAGTCAGGGAGGAATCCAGTCTGTAATCGAGCGATATGAGGAACAGCATGCCTCTCCACAAACAGATGGAAAAATCAGAGTAGTAACAGTCGTTACAAACCAATGACGGAGTTGAGTCCTCGAACCATGCGTGCATTGCTTGGAGAACTCACGCAAGACGTCGTTGAACAGGTAAATCTTTGAAGTATTCATAATATGGAAAGATTTACACAAAATGGAAATGCACACTATGACAATATGGCCAAACAGCTAAAGACGTTAAACGAAACAATGAATAAGTTAGTAGGCCAAATATGTCAACCGGCTATACCTCTTACAAACCACTTTCAAACCTGGACAATTGTGGGACATAATCCCTTTGTCTTAAATTCGAATCAAGGGGTGGAATCGCTTTCTGGTCCCTCTACTTCAAACCAAGGAGGTACTACAGTGCCAAATCAAAATAAT